CACTGAAACCGAGATGAGCTCTTTGTTGGGTACAGAAGGATTTAATCTGTATCACTGAGGAATAAATAAATAAACTAAATAATTGAAAGCTGAAAACATAAAAAAATTACTTGGATGTTTAAACTGTGTCAATCTGTTGATCGACTGGTCGATGATCAAAATAATGGTGCATTTCCTTGAAGTAGAAAAGCCTTTTTCATCAAACAAAAGAAGCCACAGGCCTAAACGCAAACTAAATGAGCTGTTCTGAAATGTGACACAATAATTTCAGAAGAAGAATCATCTCAAAGCAGCTTTTGGGACGAAACACAGCGGTAAGAACACATTTCAGTCAACGTCACACTGGAATGACAGATTTCCTCCAAACAAATTTTTAGACATATAAAGACGCTTTTGTCAAACGTTCTAAAAGCGACCTCTACTACTTCTCCTTCACTGAAAAATCTAACATCTACTTCAGAAATATTTTTGCTCTCTAAAGATAAAATTCCAGAAACGTCACAAAATCGGATTCAAGTTGAACAGAGAATCTCTCTGCGGGTGTATTCGTATTAAACGCCGTGCACGTTGAAGGTCAAACCTTCGAGTTAAAAACCCCCAAAAAGCAACAGTAAGCACAAACACGTTTGGATTCGTCTCAGCTTCGACACCCGGTCGGTCTTCCGCTCGCGGATTTAAAACTCTCACCACTTCCGAGTCGCCGTAGAAGGCGGCGAGGTCGAGGGGCGTGCGCCCGTTCTTGTCGGCGTGGTCGGTGGCGGCGCCGCTCTCCACCAGGCAGCGGACCACGGGTAAATGTCCTTTCAGGCAGGCCCAGCTGAGAGCGGTCAGACCCTCCTTGTCCATCAGAGACAGAGAGGCCCCTGGGGGGGGGAGGAGGAAGAGGAGGAGGAGGAGGAGGAGGAGGAGGAGGCGGCAGCAGTGAGACACAGCCGGGCTTATTTCACTCAGATTAGCTGCTTAACGCACTTCGATGGCTTTTTGCAGTCCGCCGCTAATTTAAATTGGCTGTAATTATTGTAAACCCAATTTGCAAACTCTAATTACACTATTGCATCTTAGTGCAGTGGCAGTTTTGGGATAAACACAACTATGAGAGAAGAAAACACAACAAATATTCTTGCATTTTTAGCTCATTAGATACAACCTGAATTGATGCACTAAAGGAAATCCTCCTATTTATCGATGTACGAATCCCTTCGCGTTTACTGGATTCCATTCACAGCGTTTTTTCTCTACTTACCCTGAGCCAGCAGAAACTCCACGGTCCCCAGGTGTCCCTCCGAGGCGGCCATCATGAGGGGGGTACGGCCCTGCTTGTCGGCCAGGTTGACGTCGGCGCCGTGTGTGAGGAGAAGGTCCACGATCTGCAGCAAACACCCAAACGCAGCAGCACCCACGTTTGTGAGATGAAGGAAATACCAAAGACAAAGAGAAAGAACATGGGGAGGGAGGAGAGGGAAGGGGGAGGGGGAGGGGGGGGGGGCACCGACCTGCCAGTGTCCCTGCCGGACGGCGCTGAACAGCGGGACGATGCCTCGTCTGTTGGGCTGGGCCACGGCCGCCCCCTGCTCCAGCAGCAGGCGACAGACCTCCAGCTTCCCCCGACCGGAGGCCGCGGTCAGCGCTGCACACACACACACACACACACACACACAATCACAGGGTCTGTTTGTATATGGAGAACAACGTCACTATTCGCTGGGAGCCCATGATTGCATCCACTTGTCGAGGAAAACGCGAGGAGGGTAGGAGAGAAGAGAAGAAGAAACAAGAAGACGCAAAGGGAGGAAGAGAGAGGGGAAGAGGAAACGAGGATGAGGAGAGAGGAGAGAAAAGAACCCTTGAGATTTTGTGGAAGCCTTTAAAAATTCTCAGATGTAATGACTTTAATGGACTAAAGCACAGAGAAGAAATCTCTTTTATGCGGAGTGGAAGCTGGATGACCCCTGATTCAACAATCGTCCGACACATGCTGGATGTGAGACCCGTGTCGATATTTGGGAGTCGAAAAGCATCTTATAACAAATTGGCATTAAAATAACATCCATAATATTACCGAATAAAAAAGCCATTAGGAAGTGCTTTTACAATAAAACACCTAAAAACCATATACTAACAGCCAAAAATAAACACGTAACAAGTTTATTTTTTTCAAAATGAAGGATAATTATTGTAATTGAGACCAAGATATATATTTAGCAGCACATTTTGGTGTATAAAAATCAAACCCTCTTAGTTTCGGCTGACACAAACACCGATGTATCTGCAATGAGAAAGCACCCCCGACTTATCATCCCAGCTCCACTTTCAACCTTTTGATTCTGTGCTGCTCAGTGAGTGCAGCAGCACATACACACTCTGCCCCCCGGCGGTTAAAGAATAATGTATTCTCATTCAACACATCCAGCAAGACTTGGATTAAAAGTCTTCTTCCAGAACAACGATCCGTCTGATCCCTCACGAACAATCAGACCGCGGCTCGGCGAGTTCAAGTCTTGCACCGACAGCGAGAGGCAGCCTGTATGAAGCTGCAGCCCAGCCCCCGTCTGTGCTCCAACGACACCACCGCACTGCCATCAGCATCTGACGCAGCAGCAGCGCGCAGACACACGAGAGCCACGTCTCCCACCCGCACTGCAGCGCTGCGCCTCGCTGACCCCCCCCCCGCCAACCCACCGGACACTCCGCAGGAGGGGAACATTGACAGCATGAACTGTGGGTTTATTCATCACACTTTATGAAATCATTCGACAAGCTCCTTTGTGCAATTCACTGTCCCACTCCTCATTTTATAGAACCTGAACGCATCGCAATGTAAGTGAATGGAAGCTCCACGTCAGCGATTGCTGAAATAGTAACCTATTTCAAACCGTGTGTGTGTGTGTGTGTGTGTGTGTGAGAGGTGGGGAGATCAACAACGGTCCGTCACAGACCAGTCAGTGTGCGTAAAGGAGCTATTCCCACCTGTCTCGCCCCACAAGGTGTCAAAGTTATTGATCTGAGCCCGCTCCACCTCCTCTTCATCTTTCTCTGGCAGATCCAGCAGGTACGACACAATCTGATGTGGGGGGGGGGACATTAGAAATGAGAGAGGTTAAAAGGTTAAAAGTTGTCTTTAAACAGATACACATACACAAACATATCTCTTGAATCTGCTTGAATGTAACTAATTAAATTAAATTAATTTTAAAAGGTTGATTCTAACCTCTCTGCTTTAATTCGCCCTCTATACTTATCTCTCTACTCCCCTAACTTCTCCTCCCTTCCAGCATAGAGTTCTTTCCCCCTTCTCAAATACACATTTACCGGTTCTCAAAGAGCTGCGCTACGTCTCAATTTGTTCTCAATACTTCGATTGCGTCTCTCCAGACGCATTTAGTCCAGAGCGTCTTTGGAAACATAGACTCCAGCAACATGTGACGAGATGCGCAGTAGCACTAAAGAAAAGTAAGCGCAGCGTTCGGTGCGACGAGCTGAACGTTCTCCTACGTGTTTGCACCGAGGAGTCTGCGTCCTGTGTGCGACAGGAGCCGTTTGCTTGCCTTCAGCTCGCACACTAATCATCATCAACATTATACAGCAGGGCGGATTCTCCCGGCGTGCTCGTTGTGTCGCTGTGCAATCATACTCTTTGGGAGTCTTTCAAATGGCTCATATACTGTGTGCTCAAATGACGAGATATGCTTTCAAACATTGCTTTTCTGAATATATTTGATTGACAACGTTGGTGTCAATGTGCCGCGAAAAGCTACGGAATGTGTTAACAATAAATTTAAATATTAAATTCTAGCACCCTGCCCCCCCCCCTGCTGTACCTCGGTGTATCCCATGCTGGCCGCGGCGACGAGGGCCTGCTGCACCGCGTGGCTCTTGGTGAAGGCCACCTGTTGTTGGGTTTGCTGGGACGGCGGCGCCGGCGGCCCCATGCCCCAGTCGCACTGGATGAGGAACTTCACCACCTCCATGTGGCCCCTCAGGGCCGCGTGGACCAGAGCGCACTGGCCGTTCTTGTCGAGGTGGTCCACCTGTCAACGTGGGACGCGGAGACCACCGGTGAGGCAAATCGGAGACGCACTTTCGATCGTAAGGCTCGATCACCCCCCCCACCCACCCCCCCGCTGCCCCTCATCCTCCGCAGAGGGCTGAAAACGTGCACGCACCTTCGCTCTCCTGCGGCAAAGCGCCGTCACAATGGCCATGTGCCCCCCGGCGGCGGCGTAGCCCAGCGGCATGAGGCCGCTCTCGGATGGCGAGTCGACCGAGGCGCCGTACTCCAGCAGAAGGCCCACCATGTCCATGTAGCCCAGGTGGGAGTGGACGCACAGGACGGGGGCGTTGTTCAGCACCTCCGTGCGGTAGTTCACGTTGGCCCCGCCCAGCATCAGCAGCCGGCTCACCTGGACGGACAGATTTGGTTACTAGGATTGCACAGCGCTCAAACCACTGAATTCTGAGCATCCTCGAGCCCACGCGGACGTTTGGGCAACATTTGACGAGGTGGTCCTGCGTCCACAATGAGGGGACGGACGAAAGTACGGCCGCTGGACAAGTGGATGGACAACCAGCACACATAATGCCTCAAAAAAAGTTAAGTAAATGAGACGATATAAAGTTAACGTGGCCCACGGAGAGTTTTTTTTTTTTGGTGCGTTGCATATTTTGAGGAGCCGCCTTGATTCGGTACCCCGACATTGTTTAAGTATGGCTCCTCTCTTCACCTTGATGTTGGGAGTGTAGAGGTTTCGGAGTGAGGAAAGTGCAGCTGAAAGGCCCTCCGTGCTGTAGGAAACCCACAGGCCTTGAAGAACAGATGAGGAAACGCCGACTTTCTTGCTGAGCCCCTTGAAGAGAGAGACGGGTTGTAAATATTCATTACTTTGGAGCCTCACCACAGCTGTGCGTTGGTGTGTGAGCGTGTAGATGCGTGCGGAGACAACTATACCTTGAAGATATGTGCTTTGAGGATGTGATGGCCCAGCTCAATAGTCTGCTGTCTGTTCAGCTTGTTCTCCTGCCGGGAGAACCAGAAGGCCAGCAGGGTGTGACCGCTCCTGCAGAGAGTTACGAACAGGGACTCAATACGTGAGACTGACTCATCGGATCATCACGCCGTGGGATCACCTGTGCAATCGGTGGAGCGATCCGTCCATAATTGCAAACAGGAGCACAATGTCCCTGCACCAACCATGCTGGAAAAATCATTACATCCACACACTTTTTTTCACCATTTTATTGGCAATCCTGTTAATTCTTCTTCTTGAAAAAAAAAAAGCTGAGATTGTTGATTAAATTGTTGTGCAGCAGATAAATGAAGATTGTAAAAACTGTCTTTCTCGGGTCACGATGGTTTGTTTATGCTGCTCTTTCTTTTAACGTAACGACCAGACATCCTTTACGGGCTCTTTTCTATGCTCTCTGCCACCAGACACAGGAACACGCGGCTGGATTTAACGGCTTCAGGTCCTGTCTAACAGCAAGGTAAAGACGTACACTTTAACGTTTTTGCAGCACTTGCCAGCTGAGAGACCCCCCCCCCCCCCTCACCTCGGATCACAGAGGAACTTTGTCTTCTCTCCTTCTTCTCTCCAGATCAGCCACTCCCTGAAGGAGGGATGGACAAACATCCTGGTGCCGTCCCTCCTCTTCACCAGGAAGACGGACAGGTTGTCCATACGCTGTTGGAAGTCCTCCCAGTCCAGAGTGCCCTGTCAACGTTATTTATTGCTCAGGTCAAGCTGATATCATTTATAAGACGGGAACAAATTAGTTATGGATGGATTTATTTTATCTTGTACTCGTCCTAAACATTGTGCACATTAACCTTGTTACTTATCTAATCATAATTATGTCAATCCTGTTCATTTATTTGATCCACAGGACAGAGAATAACAATAATAATAATAACCAAATATTAGAGATGACTTTGCAAGGTAACTAAAGTCTTCTCATTCAAAAGTGAGCTGAGGCGTTGACCGCCACCACGGATCGGAGCGGCCCATTTTCCAACACGTCGTTTGACTTGGAAGCCTCGAGGTATTCAACGGTCTCAAGCTGGGAGGTCCAGTAACATTTCGGCATCATTACCTGCAGCGATCCGGAGTTGATGGCCTGATAAATCTGCTCATCGTTCAGCGGGTGAAGCGAGGCCACGGCCACGTTGAGCAGAGGAAGCGCCCGCTCGAACGAGGACTGCGTGGGGAAGCGCATGTTGCACTGCAGCAGGTACACCTCAGCCAGGTTCACCGGAACCACCTGAGAAGAAAGAATCGGATCGCTGATTTGGGGCGGGGGGGGGGGCATGCGGCGCTCTACAGGAAATGAATAATGCACGGTGTTTGTTCAGCGCGCGTCCGACCCGTCAACGCGGTCGGGGAGAATGTGGATTTACTGTTTTCATTTTTTATGGAGTCGGGACGCACTTCTGAATACATGAAATTAAAATGAACCCGGGAGGTGTGAAATAACATATTTCACTATGAAATGCACACTTAAACAATTCAGCTGCATTAGTCATGGAAAGGGGTTTGGTTCCAACCGTCACGAATATTTCATGAAACTATTTTTACGCAAAGCACGTCAGAGAGCAGGTCAATAAAAAAAACAATCCCATTGTTGCCTTGGCAAACCATAAATACCAGGATATTTGGTTTAGAAACCTGTCTTGTCTTCTCTGTTGCTATGGAGGCCGTGAGTAACGCTGTGGGCTACAACTTGAGTCATGCTTTTTTTGTTGGCAAATCGGTTAAAAGTACTCTTATTTATCCATCAGAGGTTCCTGTTTGCAGTGTTTAAGCTACTATTGATACTAAAAAATAAGACTATAAGGAGCACGTTTGTTTCCAGGATTTCTATTCTCTAATTTCTGTCTCATCATATCTGTGCGCTCAAATTTCACTGTTCAATCAATCTGCAAAAAAACACACCTTGTAGCTGGAGCTTTTGAGGACAAGGTAGCCCTTCTCGATGAGGTCAAAGGTGAGCTTGAGGTACAGGTAGGAGCCCTGGCTCAGGGCCTTGAGGTGGGCGCTGAGCTTGCCGAAGGTGGTGTTGTCCATCTTGCCGTTGAGCGAGATGTTGTTCTGGATCTCGGGGCTGCTGTGGATGCGGTGCAGGATGTAGCCCTGCAGGTCCTGGTCTATGGCGTCGTTCTCCTCCAGGCCGTCCAGGAAGATGCGGTGGAAGGGCAGCGAGTTGGTGATCTCCTAAACAGTGACAGTGACATGGCAGAGAAATGGCCGTGAACATAAACGTAGACATACAGTACTTGCTGATATATGGTAAAAATAATCATTTTAAAAAAGGTCAGAAATAAATGAATAAAGGACCTGCAACGTGGTTCTGACCGTCACCACCAGTTTGAGCCAAGGAGGGAACTTGTTGATGGTTTTAGTGAGGAAGGACACGATGGTGTCTCCGTAGTCCGGCTTGTGGAACTCTGCCTCGTTCAAGCCGTCTATGAGGATGATGAGGTCCTCCTCAGAGTTGATCTTCCTCTCTGGAACAGAACAAGAATGTTGACAAAAATACAGAAATACTATTTTTTGGGGAAATTCATTCAACTTGGAAACAACAGACTGATAAGACATGAATAAAATATATTTGATTGCAGAACTATAAACCACATTTAATGGCCTTCCTCCTCAGACGACGAAGATTCATTTAGACTTTGAGGGTAAGCCACCAAGTGAAATTTCATTACAGATTTTTGTTTGTTTTTCATTTAAAATGAAAGTTTGGAACAATCTAAATTAAGCTTTGTTTGGATTAATAAATAGGGAGCTTTATGATCTTGACAAGGCATCTGTTATTATGCACAAAAGGACTCGAGTCGAACAATAAACTGAACGTGGCAAATTGAGTGCTGAGGCCAAACAAGTTACAAATTGGCAAAAGCACGGTGATGATTCTTAAACTAAAATGATTTCTACATACTTCAACTAAAGAGCAGAGCTACAAACTGCTGTGTTTGATTCACCCTCATGAGTTCAATTAAAATACAAAATTCACTTTACACAGACGACTTGCACGAGAATAAACAAATACACCGTTCCCGTGAAACCGCTGTCAAGTGCGACCAATTTGTTTCGCGAGTGCTTCACCTCTGTAAAGTGCGTCCAGGGGCTCCAGCACGCCCCTCCTGAAGGAGGCCAGGGGGTCCTGGACGCAGGAGCGCAGGCTCAGGGTGCTCTGGAGGTGCGGCTCCTTCAGCAGCTGCTCCCTGTAGGCGACGAGGTGCGGCGAGCGGCACAGCAGGGCCGCCACGTTGTGCACGAACTCCGGCACCAAGCAGGTGTAGGCGTTGTCGGCCTGGCAGTAGTGGTACGCCACCACCTGGGGGCGACAAAGAGCGGAGAGAAGGACGCAGCCCGGGTCAACCCTCGAGGAAACCCCAAAAGATGCACCCTTCCGGTGCACACCTGGCGATCCCGACATTGACCGCGGTCTGGGCTCGCGGGAGTCACATGACCCCACTTTTTGAAATAACATTTCACATGCACTGCCTCCGACTTCATTGCAGTATAATGAAACGCCGCTTTAGCTATTCAGAACTTATCGCTTCCGGCTGCCAGGTGAGGCCGCTCCCGGAAGGGGGGGGCACGTGCGAGCTCATGTGCCGGGATGACTGTGGCACGACAGAGTCGAGCCGTTTGCGCGATGTTCTCCAAACGTGGCCATGGTTACATGATCCGATGTGTCTGTGTTCGTCACGAGAGGGGGCGGTCGAGGGGGCGAGTTTGCCGGGGAGGTCAGTCGACTGAGCGAACGGACGCAGGTGTGACTAAAGCGCTCCTGGCGACAGAGATCACAAAGAGTTTGAAATGTTTCAGAGGCTGCCGACGGCGATCAGAAGGCAGTATCGAAATGAAACGAAATGCAAATTTTTTTGGTCACAGCGGGATAAAGGTCTTTAAAACAAAAGGGGAGTGAGCGCCATCATCTATGCACGGAGTTAACACGATCTAATGGCTTGGCAGGGAAATGGCTTTCTACAGGTATAAATATTTCATAAGGCTCCCTGGCAAAGTTGTTTTTTCTCTTTTAAACACATCTGCATAATGCATCAAGCTGGGGCCGCGGACGCAGATGGCTGAGCTGCATGGGGGGGGGTGGAGGGGGGCCGACGTGAGACAGAAGACAGGAAGAAGAGCCGGAAAGAGAGCCGGGTTCACACACACTGTTAAAGCGAGCTAAACTCTCCGGTTATAGTGTTTTGAAAGTCAACATTTAACACAAAAAAGAGCATAAAAATGGAGTCCCAGCTTATCTGCTGCTTATTTGAAGTCTATCACCTCGGGGAGCAAAAGTCGCTGTGTCCATGCGCGCACTTTGGAGAAATATATGATATATTTCGCTGAATATTCTGCCACCTCCGCTGTCCCTAATTGAAAAACTAAGACATTAAATGATGATCTTTACCGAAGGACAGAGGCCTGGAAACGTCATGCTTAACAACAAACACGAAAAAATGTATTATTACGACACGTCGGCAATGTTTTCCCTTAACGATCATGCATGCAGTTCCACCCTTTGATAAATAGGACAGGAAGAACTGACAACACTCGAATGCAAATTAGACTCCTTACATAGCATTTGGCAATTCTAACATGTATATTTTTACATTTCACACAGCTGTGAAAGAAAAAAAGGAAATGGAGGAGTGGGAGGAAATATTCCTAAGTGGCTCAGGCTGGTGCACTTATCTTCTTCTTCGTAATACGCAACCATCAATTGAAAGCTAGAAATGGCACATTGTAAACACGCTCGCAGTACCACTCAAAAGTTTGGACACATTTTCTCAATCAATTCAATAAGAAAGCGTGTCCACACCTTTGACTGGTGCTGTATATATCCGCAGCAGATAAATAGATCATTTTCATTTGTAAAAAAAGCAAATGGGAGGAAAAGCAGTAAAAATAAGAAGGAAAAAGATCATATCTGCGTGTCTTAATACTTGGAGACGCAGACCGTCTCCGGTGTGTTTGTCTGTCACGCGTGTATCCGGTACCTGAGACGCCAGCCTCCTCATGGACTCTTCCTGACGTCGCCTCATCTCGGGGGTCCCGGGACAGCTGCCTCCTCCCAGGGTGCCGTGCGTGGGCTGGGGCTGAGTGAGAGGGAGACCCTCTCCATCTGGACACAAGACACACACGCGTGAGACACTTGCGCCGGCTTTCTGTTCTAAATTTAAGGTTTCTAACATTTCTAAAACACCCAAATTCAACAATGGAGTTCAGAAAAGAATCCTCATCAGTTTAGCATCTTCACCCGGTGCACGAATGCACTACTCGTACGGAGACGTGAGCCTACGTTTGGGCGACGCCTGGGGGCTGTCGGAGGCGATCTGCCTCATGCGGGTGCCGTGGCAGCTGAGCGCCACCAGGCGAGAGACGATGGCGGTCTTGCCGAAGCCGATGTTGCCCAACACCGCCACGCCGCGGTTGGTGCTGGCGTTGGGGCTGTTGAGGTGGGCATCGATCTCCTGGAAGAGCCACTCGCGGCCCGTGAAGACCGAGTCCATGGTGATGCTGGGCACCTCGAACAGCAGGGGTTTGAGGGCGATGTCTTGAGGCCGATAGGGTGCAAAACGCACTGGCGGGTCAAGGAGAAGAGAGGATTTAGAGGTCAAAGGCACATTCATGTTCCTTCGCGAGCATTTTCAGGAATCAGGAACATTTATTGTCAAAGTATGTTAGATATATCAAAGGAATTTGACATGCTGGTTGGTGCATAACAGATTTTGAGATGTCTGCATATCTGTCCTGTTTGCATCTGAGGACTGATATGGAGCGAGTTACTGCGTGTACATTAATATGATAGTAATACTTGGATATCATTTTGAATAACATAAATATCTATGCAAAAAAAAAACGTGTAATAGTAGTAGGTAGTTCTCACATGTATTATATATAAAATAAAATATTCTATTGTTGTCTATTGACAAACAAAATAGGAGTGGATGTGGATTTCAGGGTTACAAATATTGTGTTCTATTTTTTTTAATGAAATACAGTAACACAAAATGAATCAAGCAAGTGGAAAATGAAACTTCTGAGATTAAAACTATACGGATGGCTCAATGATTGCTATGTGAGGGAATTATTGTTGTGCTTGAGGATTGTGTGACTAACGGCACCCTTGAATTCTTTAAGAATAAGTGGCTCCTAAAATAAAAAAGTTTCAATAAGAATCTTACTGTAAACTGAATAAAAATAAAGAATAACATAAGTAATATTTAGAGCAATGACATTTAGCTCAAGGATTTTAGATTTGATTGCTTTGGGCACTTTAACAAGCAAGGACTGTTGATTTCACTCACTAAGGCGTGAATTCAACAGTCGTTTGAGGGGCACATTAAACTCATGTCCTCCAGAGGTTGTGCATCTTCTCAGCCCAACATATGGACCATTAATGACTAATGAGGCCAAAATTAATCTGGTACGAACAGATGTGCGATGAATTCAGTATAAAGTTCCGTCTGCTCCTTCCATCTTTTAAAGTAAAAAAAAAAAAAAAAAGAGTGAAAACTGCTCTCTACGATGTGGCGTGTTGTTTCTTTAAGTGGTACATCAGCCTATGCTGATTAATCCTGGTTGAGAATGTGCGTTGAGTGTGAATAACTCAAATGCTTTAATCCAAATGAGCGTGCTCTGTGAAACGTGGCAGTAATGTCCCTTAATGTTGAGGACGGAATGTTCCGCCCGGTGCAACAAATGAAAATGAAAGTAACTTACGTGACTGCGATTGCCAGGCATTGGCGTTATTAGCGGAAGCTGCGACGGACAGCGAGCATAAGACAAAGAGAGAGAGAGACAGTGTGGTGACAGAGGGGAGAGAGGAAGACAGTGAGGACAGGAATGGGAACCAGCAGCAGTTGTAGCTCAATGTACAGACAAACAAATAAGGAAGCAGAAAACAACATTGGCACGTCATGATGTCAGAAATACGGGGAACCACCACAACAGGGCTGATCACGATTTGAAATCCTTTGCATTATATCGAGCGTGTTCCTCGGGCCGTCTGGAGGGAGGAGGGAGAAGGTTCGCACTTTTAGGAGTATCTAATTGGTTCCATTGGGCCGTGCAAGATCATTCAATCTCCATAAAGAAACAATTGAAGCCAGCTCTAGTCATAATTTGACATCTGGATGTGGAGAGAGCAAATCCTCCGCTCCACAGACGAGTGTGTGAGAGTTACAGGCCGCTAAAGGTGTTTCACATAGTAACGGAGAGCAAATCACAGAGGCTCAGACTAACCGTGTAATCGGATTTACACTTTGGTTTTTCTTTTGCTTCCTTGGGTTTCCCGCTGGTTTCCAGAAATCATTCAGAAAATATGATAAATTGATCCTAGAATAACATGATCATAATAAACTACCACAGTTTTCAGTAGCAGTGAGATGACCTAACTATTCAGGAGTTACGACCCCGAGACAGAGTTTACCCCCCCGAAGGAACAAAAGAAGAACGTTGAGATAATTTCCCCGATACTCCTCGTGTTCTCCATGTGTAGAAAACCGGTCAACGGTTTTCCAGGTTTCCGGTGGGGGGCGGGGAGGGGGCGGGGCCACAAGCGGCTTTGCTGATTATCAATGCGCAGTGGGGATCGACTGCGGCTCCCACGACAGCCGGTGCAAAAGCTCGCGTCACACCCTGTGCGGCACACTGGGACTCTGACTTGTGGGAAACACGTATCATACATTAGAGTAGTCGGGTGTGCGATGAACGAGAGCGAGCAGGATTTATTGTGTGTCGGCAGAAATTTCTGTACTTTAGTGTGCAGCTACAGTGCTGCGAAATACATCAGGGTGCAGGAAGGGGAAGTGAGGGAGGGGCTGCTGCATTAGAGCTGCAAAAGGCTCCAGTGTGTTGATAAGGAGCTTTGCTGCATAACATAATGAGTTGATATTGCGTTTCATGCCTCCTTTTAGCAGACAACACTGCAAATGCCCCCCCCGACCCCTTCTCAGGATGCTAATTATCTTTGCAGAAACGTGATGATCATGCTAAAGGATATTCCCACTTATATCAGGAAATAGTACAAAGATGGTTGAAGGGGTGTTTTACACTGAGTGCATTTTACTGCACTGAGCTCTGTGGCAGCTGCAACCCAATGCAATAAAAAGACATTTCATCCCATTTCCCCGGTCACATTATTTCAGTGCTAACTTCACAAACACAGTCAGAGAGACACAAAGACGCAGAAGGCGACGACCTTCCTACGCCGCCTATAATTCACAAGCCGATGTATTGCTCTTCATGTTGGGTGTCAGAATGGACCTGATGCAACACTAGTGATGGGAAATGCAAAAAGTACCCAATGGAACCAGTTACAATGCAAACGCCGGATGTGAGAGGCTAAGTGCTTGCTAATCCAATTATCTCGGAGGTGGGGAGACCGAATGCCAAAAGTGTCCGAAAAACACACCTCTGCAATATCGGCCAGGGTCCTTCCCCGAGGGCGGTAACGATTACACCGCTTTGTGCGCGTTAAATCGTGCAGGCCACTACTGCTCCACTGGGGCAGGTCTTCCACCAAAAAAACCCCCAAAAAAACATGGCAGCCATGTTGAGAACGCGGGGCCGAGGGAGTTGTTTTCCAGGACAGCGGAAGCAAATGTGTGTTTGTGTGAGAGGGAATGACGGATGCATCGCTGTTGCTCCTGTGCATAACAGTCCCCCCCCCCTCCTCGGGCAACATTCAGCGAGGTGTCACTCCACCGTCCCTCGCCTACCGCCAACCCTCGACCGCCAGACGGAGAGAGAGGCTCAGACGTTTTTAATTATTCACCAGGTGAGGATGACTCACGGTGGCTAAGCAACCTCGAGAAGGAGAGAGAGAGAGAGGAGAGATGATGGGGAGGAGGAGGGCCTGCTCGCTGTGAAGGGTCCGGGGAGCTTGGCAACACAGGTTCTTACATAATTTATGTTTGAAAAAAAGAAATCTTAGAAATCGGAGCATCATTATAAACCTGGGTGAGTTTATGGACCATGTGTCCTAATTTTACACAAACCTTGCTGACTTAACTTCTACATCTTGCAGCCGAGGAAGGAGGACGAAGTATGTGACATAAGACACAGAGCCCTAATAAATATCACATCTGAAATAAAAGACAGTTTAAATTAAAATGTATTCATCAGGTAGCAGGGAATAGTTTACGGCTATCAAAAGGTTAAATAAACATCTTAAACTGTTTCATCCAATCTAGACGAGCCATGCGACTCACAGCTTCATTCACTTTAAACATGAAACATTTGTTGGGGACCATTTTTGATTTATGAATTAAAAGCGAATGAAAAGAGCTCCAGTATGTTGTATGTGGGACAAAGTCTGTGGCACAACGATATCAAGCATTGGATAAACTCAGGCAATGTTGGAACAATTCAATTCGCTCTTGGTACCTTGGAGGGATTAGTTAATAATTAGTTAAAAGTCATATAATATAGCCTGATGTTTGAATCAGCTAAATGATCAGGTAACACAAAGCCCTATTTTGTGTATGCGAGCAGAGGGAGAAAGGGCATGGAGGGGGGGGGGGGGGTGGCGGAGAGAGAGTAGATGATCAGGGGAGAGAACGTGTGTGCGGTGCACAGTTATGCGAGCGAGATTGCGGTGAATAGATGAGGTGGGTGGTAAATCTTGGAGGTAGGCAGTAAGGAGCACAAGAAGGTCCTTTTCAGTCTGACTCACTCTCCTCAAAACAGCAGCACGGCTCGGGGCCCCCGGCGGCCGCTCGGCATCCAAAGAGGCCGACATAAAGAACATCAGCGGGGGAGAGAGAGAGAGCTGCATCGGTCAGCTGGTTACCACCTGACCCACACATAACCAACAGTCTCCTCTAGATCATCCGGAACTGAAGCTGAAGCTTCAAACTCATCACTGCACACACATCAGTCATCTATCTGCGTATTACATGTTAATGAACCTGGCAGCTTCTGGCAGTTTGTCATGAGCTATGAGGAGAAAATTTATTTATTTTTCCGGTCGTGGTTTAAACGTTCACGCGGCCCGATAGAGCCAGCCGCAAGCAAACATGTTCCCGCGGGGCAAAGATCACGGTTGCCTTCTCCATATGCCGTCATTCAGGCAATTAAACCAAAATGAACTCTACCTGGTTGCCGTTTCTTATTTTCGTAGAGCATTTGAACAAGAAGGATTCTGTCCGCAGCTCTTTGTTGCACATCGGCGGTTTCCATCACTGAAACTGTAAATCACTGTAAGCGTTTCCCTCTGTATTCTAATTTCACTGCCAGTTATTCATGTAAATGTTTTGATTGGGTGGCGTGGGGGGCGGGGGGAGGTCAAATAATCATGAGTCATCCACTAGCCATCTTTCTCAACGACAAAATGTCAGAGAAAACATTGCTGATGCCATGAATACATCAATTAATCTGACAACTTCAATTAAGTGACCAACGACTCCTCCATTCAGTGCCTGTCAATACACTTTGCAGGAATAAAAAGAAACCCTGCAGGGAAAAAATAGTGTCCTTCAAGCCGCCGGCCTTCTCCTCGGGTCACCCGTCTGACGCTGATCCGAGGAGCCGCGCCGCACGCCAGGACGCAGTCGGTTGGCTTGTAAACACACTTGGTCGCCCTTAGAGGAGGAGGAGGAGGGCTGACACCAGCGTTCCTGGCAGTAACAATGAGACTCAGAGGATATAGCTCGTCGTTGCCTCTCTCTCTCTCTCTCGTGTGGCCAGCTGCCTCGGGCGCGGCGAATCACAGTGGCGGCTCAGCCGGGCTCGCTCTCGGCTAAGTGGGGTCTTAACAGGTGTTCAAAACACACGGGGACGCATATTTGGGCTCGCCTAGATGGCAGGCCTCTGCCATCTAGAGCTCATTACCGGCTAAGTGACTGAGGAAGGAGGGCGAGGGGGACACATAATGTCGTGACACGAGGCCATTTGGCCCTTGGGGGGGGGGTGAGGAGATTTGCTTGCCCATGCAAGCAAAGCACTGAGACATTCTTTGTTAGTGGGACACAACCTGACTAATGCTTTCGTGTACTGCCGCCCCCCCTCCACCCCCCCACTCGCATGCTCCTCTCACACGCAATCTGAAAGTAACAGTGAATGAGGCTCAACACCTACGGTCATACTGCAGCTCTTAGAGCGTCTCCTGCTGCCGTTTTGCAGCGAGACCTTAAAAGTTGTGGCATGGTCAGCGTAGCTTTCGGTTGACATAACGGGTTTTGATGGTCTGTGTGTGTGCTGGCGTCGTCTCTTGCTTACCTCTCAGGTCCTGCCCGGAGCGACCCGGCCCGCAGGTGGTGCTCTGTCTGGGCAAGCGCAGCGACGTGCGTAGCGGAGTGTGTCTCTGCTCATCCAGGTACGCCAGGTCCTCCAGGTGGGCTGAACTTGTAGCTGTGAGAGAGAGGGAGGTATTTCAGAGAAAGAGCTATCGTCAGCATATGTATGAACTCAGTCATCCAGAGTCCCCCTTCTCACGTATACATATATATATTATATATATACACGGGGAGGCACAGGATCATGCCGGTGTCTTGAGGCTGTTGTCAGACTCTCATGCTCATATCTCCTACAGGAGAGCGCGAGCCGGCCCTACGCGGTTCGGTCCTAACGCTCCGTCCCCCTCGATGTCTGTCACGCTGCACGGAGGCAGATGCCATCGGGCCCCTCTCAGGATTAATTAGCTCAACAGACTAATGTCTTATTCATGGAGTGAGTGCCGTCTGACACCGGCTGCTGATTGTTTCGCACCACGCTGCGTCTTGCGTGGGCCAACGTTTCGGAGTCAGTGGATGTTAAATAAGATCAGAGGCCGGCGGCGGGGGGGGGACGAGCGGCGGCCTTGATTCTCCTTCACACCTGAACCGTGACTTTGTCAGACGGGCCGCTGACAAAGTCATTACGTAAAGAGAAGACCCCGTCGTGAACAGAGCGGTTCGTTTGTCCCTTTTGAATAAGCCAACAGGTGCTCTGACAGGAAAATCTGTTCAGAACAAACTTTTCTAATGCAGAGATAATGGAAAAAGCTGCAGAGACGGCGAGAGAAGACAGAATATTAAGCTGTTTGGGTATCTCTGAGAACCAATTTCCTGGGAACTTTTAAGGGAGCTAAATTCGATATTCGGGGTATTAAAGCGGCAGCAAACAACTCTATGTGAAGATATAGTGGAGTAATGGCTACCTGAGCGGCGAATAAAGTGGCTCTTCCTCTGAGAGTGTTCAGAGTGCTCTAACATGCACGTGAGCCCCGGTGTGTGTGGCCCACTGGCTGCTCTCTGCGCCGTTAGCACTGGTAGCACCACTAGCTGCTAGCAGCACGCCCGACGGTCGCCATGTTGAGAGCCGTGTTGAGGCAATCCCTCAACTTCCTCCGAATTGGGAAGATTCTTTTAGTTTTTCTTACATTTTATTCCAGTTTCAACTTCTGGTGCCATTTTTTTCATTTTCTGTGGGAACATTATGAGTCAGAATGTTACTTTGAATGGACTGTTTTAGGGGAGCATTATTCTCTCCAGAAATCATCTGTCTAACCTTAACTGACATTACACAGTAATAATGTGACTTATTTTATCGGAGCGGCAAACCTTTTATTTTTTTTACTATACATGTCAAATTCAGTGTCAGTGTCAGTGTGTGTGTGTGTGTGTGTGTGTGTGTGTGTGTGTGTGTGTGTGTGTGTGTGTGTGTCATCTTCTGCGTCTTACTTTGTTCACTCCACAAAATAAGGCCCAGTAATCGCTCCATGTTTCAGGTCTCTGACCCCGCCGGCACCTCATCGCGGACGCTGACCCTGATTTAAAGAGTGGTTTCCGGTGCCGCCGTGGTGAAGCTCGGTGAAGTCCTTTGCATGTGCACGGCTCTGTACGGGTCAACCAGGCCATAGACCCCAAAAAAAACACGAGCCACGCGGGTTTCCCAAAGTGGAGGAAAAACGGCAGCTGGGAATGCTGCAGACTTGGCCCTGATGGCAATGTGGGTGCCGGTCATCCGACTGGGCTAAAAGTGGAGATAGTGGAGGCACTAATCTTCTGCAGAGCCACAGGAGAATGACTCAGGGCCACGAGGCTGAAAAGACTCCTTATTTCCTCCCTTTCAACTGTGTTTGAATGTGAGGAATCAAATCTGTGTGCTCATCACCTCTATCTGCAATGCAGCAGGCGGCTAGGGATGACGTTCTAAGTTCCTGCGCCAATGCACTAAGACTGCACACTAAAGGAAATAAGAAGGCAAGAAGAATAAAAAAGTAAAGGAAAAGTAACTGTGCAGGCAAGAGCTCAGCCCTTTTTGGGGAGATGACAGCCACATCAGTCACTTCCTGTTACAAAGACTGATAGCACGGACGCACGCGTGCACGCACTCGGGAGGCGGGCCGGGCTGCCGTCCAGAGCCGGTCACACTATCAGCCGACGAGTCATCGCAGATAGACGGTGGCGGCTGGTGCTCTAAACGCCAACCTCCTCTCGTCTCCCAGAGAGATGACTCGAGGCGATAAATAACGCAGCCACTTAAACAACAATACTTACGGGTACTGAAGAGAATATATAAGCGCAGGTGGTATAATCGAGGAGACATGGAAGTATTCGTGCCTCCATAGCTGCTTTGTCTTGGCGCACAGGTTAGAAGATGGAGATGGAGAGTATTCAGGTGCTTGGGATCTTGCGATTGCCGCTCTTTTCTAAACGGTAGCGACAACCTAAATGAATGTTACGTGGACGATGATGCAACTGTCCACATCGCTGATGCGAGAGCTGAGCGGCGGCGGCGTGACGGAGAAGGAGGGAGATGAAAAAGCTTTTTTCAAAACTCAACCTCATCTTGACTTTCTTCTTTAAGGATACTGATAATGAAGAAATACTAATGGAATCCTTACTTATAACTCTTCCCTGAATGAAACCTCAAAAACGAATTAAATTCCTTACGGGCTAATTTATAAAAACCTCTCAGCAGAGAAACAGGATATTCTGTCCTGGTTGCTCCGTCCTCCATATCCACCCTGAGCTCTACCAACGCACGGCCTTCATTAGGTAATAGAGGAGCCACCTCCCTCCTCGTCTCCCTCCCCACTCGCCTTCTGCTCTCGCTCTGTCTCCCCCCCTACACTCCCCCGCACATCAAAGACACTCTCTCTCTGTCACCGTGGGGGATAGAAACGGTTAATGCCTCGGGCTTTGATGTTGCACTGCTGTGTGAGCCCAGCCAATCCTCAGCCGGCGCTCGCCTCCCATCGTCTAATAACTCTTTGTGGAGGAAAAGAGTGAGAGGGAGCGAGATTACGAAAAACTCTGCTTTCGCTCCTCTTTCCTCGCATTTCCATCTCCCCAATATGGGATTTCTGTTTAGCAAATGCCTCTAAAAACATAATGTCCTTTTTTCCCCCTTTTTTCCTCAGTGCCTCCTTCACCTGCAGCTTGTAGCACGTCTGCGAATCCGAAGGTCCGGGGTGTTGAAGGGGAGGAGATGAGATCGAGGGTGAATCTCTAAAAACCACCGCGCTGCCAGACGGCGGCGTCAAACAACGGAACATGACCGGCATAACGAGAGGGGGTCGTAGCCGCGGCGGCAAGGCGCATGGGCAGTGTTTGGACGGCACACTCCCCCGCCAGCCCGGAGCTCGTGGTCTGTAACGGCCTCTTCTCACGACGGGAACAGTAATACAATCAGGCGCATTAGGACTGCCTCAGTGTTATGAAACTGATGTATTTACCGGCACCTTTCGGGAGCCTGCAAATCAGAAACTCAATGAGACCTCTGATGAAAAATGCCTGTTTTTTTTGTTTTTCTCATGTGATATTCTCCCAGCCGCAGTATGTTCTCCTTCTGAAGCCGTTTTTTCTTTATCCTTCCCCGGACTGTATTATTCTGCTCTGTGGTTTCGAGCCACACCGAAGGGATGTATGAAATGCCACCGCGGATTTGCAGCTCTTCGCCAAACAAATTCAAAATAAACCCCGTTGAATTTGACAACAACAGTTTCCTCTCTATGTAATTACTCCATGTTGTAAAAGTGACAACAGATTGAAAGGTTAAGCGGTTTTATCCCAGATATTCAGGAGAAATAAGGTGTGCAGCTTTGGGATACGTTTTGTTCACAGAATACCTGCCCCATATGCGCAGATCCAATCTTTTGCTCCTGAACTGCTGCTAACCCTCACCCCAATACCAACGGTCCTCCACTTTGGTTTCGTTTTTATCATTGTCGACAACGGGATCCACACAAATGGACGTTAGAGAACACAAAAGGAAAGGATCGCAGTTCATCTCGGGAGAAAACAAGCCAGGAAAGGAAGCGTTCGAGGAGTGCAAGAGGGAGCACTGAAGGAGTCAGAAACATAAAAGGGGCCCGAGAAGCAGCGGCGCCATCCAATTTTGCCCCGGCGCCCTCGCAGAATTGCTACACTCCACGGCCGCGCTCTCGTAAGTGACCTCATTGCTGGCTTCCCTTGCACCTATCTGGGAGAAGGGAGGGAAAGAGGAAGGGACTCACCGGCCACAGAGTTGGGGCGGGGCATGAGGTACAGGGGGATGGAGTGGGCGGAGTGGGAGGACATGCTCTCCAGGCTGCGCTCGGGGATTTTGTTGAGGCTGTAGGTGGAGGCGGTCATGTTCTCATCCACCCTGTACAGGAAGGAGTCCATGCCTGATTTCTGGGACTGCCACAGCTTCAGGTTCCCCCGGGAGCCGTCGCCGTACTTGCCGCCTCGCTCCATGTTCTCCGAGTAGCTGGTCAGCGTGGCTGAAAGAGAACGACGCGGCGGTCAGCGGGCGGACACGACGCGGTCGCGGCAGGGATGTGCGTCATTTGTTCATTCGGGAGCACGGCTTAACTGTCAGCAAGTAAAGTTGACTATTTCTGTTTTGTCTGTATCTTTTTCTTCTTTTGTTACATTTTGTTTTATAGTTATTCTCTTATATGGTTCATAGTTTTACTTTTCATACCACTTGAAATCCCCAAAAAAGAGACCGCTACCTACAAGAGGAATTATTGTTCCTAGTATACCGGTCTTCCCATACGTACAACGCGTTGTGGTTGTCGTCATTGTGGAAAATATAAATTCTCACATTTGACATTTTAACGTGTTCATTCTTTCACAATGTGTGTGTGTGCAGATGTTACCTATTATCCCGCTGTCCCTGCTCTCCAGGGTCGAGGTGGGACTGGTGACGGAGCCGTAGGCGCAGTCCTTGTTGCTGGCCTGGCCGGGCATGGCAGGGGGGAGGGTGGAGCAGGGGCTGCCTGCAGGGGGTGAGGCAGTGCTGCTGGTCAGGGTGGAGCACGGGCTGTTCCTCTGGTTTTGGCCCTTGTAAACACACACAAGCCGTTTTAAAAATAAATAAAAAAGCTTTGTTTGGTTCAAATAACTCCAATAAAATACACAAGACTAAAAGTCAAAGTACAATGTTTGAACTTTTAATACGAGAGTCATATTCAGAGCAAAATGTCACTTCAATATTGCAGATTTTTAAAAGCTCGGCCCCCCTGCTGGCTTCATGTAGTCAGTCCTTCAAAGGATTTTCCCTCCCACGTGGATACTAACACGAATGAAGAATAGTGATTTGTACTTTCGGGAAAGCTTTGCAAATAAGAAAACAAGACTCACACAAAAGAATTACACATGTATCCATTAATGCTAATTCATGGCACCTATAACACCCTGAAATGTCTTTACAAATGTACCTCACAACACAGTCTTCTACAGCTGAGGAGGACGGCACAAAGACAAATAGAAATAGCCTCCGATGTTTATTTGTTTTGTTTCTGAAAGGCAGTTTAGTGCACACAACAAGGATGTTAGTGCTACATCTTAAATGCAGGAAAACAGTAATTTCCCCTTCTTAGAAAATAAATGGGAGGGGCATTTCCAAAATCAGATTCAGCTCAGTCCCTTGGCACATGTGAGGTTGTACGCTGTAGTTCTTCACAAAGTATATTTCACCTCAAATACATACATACATCTTATGCTTAGACTGAGATAAACACGAGGGGACAACAACAACAACAACAAACTCTACTGCGTCTAATCCGCTGCAAAACAGACGCACTCTCATGCAGCGTCCGCGGGAGCAAAAAGAAGCCAAGTTGTCAAGCGATTTACGACGCACGCAGGGTCTCCCCTTGAAGGGTCTGCTGGGGCGTTCAGGAGACAACGGGAGGGGGGGGGGGTCAAGTGGCGCTCAAGGCTGGATGGAGTCGAGTTTAATCTGCGGGAGAGTGGAGACGCTGAGCTAATAAACGCACACATACACTCGCGAGCAAGGCTGCAACTAACGACTGTTTACATCACTGACTTATCCGCCGGTTATCCGACGACGGGCTCCTGCGGCCGTGGCTCGGCGGATGAACGGGGGCAATAGGTCGTAGGGTCGGGTGGCTCTGATCCTCGGGATCGTGTAAATAGGGCCTGCACTGTGTAAGCCGCTCAAAAGGTACAAGCTTAGCGTTTGAATTATGAGCGGCGACACCTGTAAACAAGGTCAGCACACTGCCAAAGGACTGGTCGGCCTCTCAGGCCTCAGCCTGCGGTTTTGGGAGGAGCTCGACCCCAAAAGCGGACGCACGCGAAGAAACGCACGGCAGCGCCATCTGCCGGGGCTAATGGGCCCCGTCCGACGAAGGACCTGACCTCCACCGCTGCACGAGGATCGGCTTAAATTCGGGGTCGCTTAAGCGCGGGAGCACGGGAGGCAATTAGCCGCTGCACGTTAAGGTCACCTCGCTCCGTCGGCTGTGGAGTTGTTGCAGCCGAGACGCCGGCTACACTCGGCAGTCAATCCCGTCGGAACGGAAGACGGTGGATTGGTGTTTTCACTGAGAATTTTTATTCAAAAGCAGGTTGTTGTCTGCCTGGCTTCGTGGTGAATCAGCTGCGGTATAAAGATGACTGGCAGACACACATTGAGACAGACAGGCATCCTGAAAATATCCAGTCAAATCGACTGTATAACTGCGCTCTCTTATGAGGAACATGACAACAGGCCCACTCTCTAATCTGCTGATGGATGGCGTCTTCGGAATCTTTGTCATTATTTTAATCCAGTTCTGGTATGTTAATGAATCAGCCAATCCAGAGAACAGTATTCAGGGTAGATATCCAAAATGATACGTTTGCACCGTGTGCGCGATGCAGCGGGCCGCGAGTGTGAGTCACGTCTCTAAAAAGAGCCGCTTGAATCAACCCTCTCGCAATTTATACACCCCCACTGCTACAGCAGCGCTCGCGTCGAGCACAGGCAGTCCATCAGTCTAATCGCTCACCCAAACCGCTTCAGTGCGAAAACCCACACCTATGAACGCTTCAGCAACAGGTCCCCCCCGCCCCCCCACCCCCACCCCGAAACCCCCCCAGCATTATTTCTGTTTTCTCACTGTTTTCTTCCCTCTGTTTGGGAGAATGCAGACCTGTGAAGTCGGGTTTAGGTAGAGAAACCAGGACATCTGCTGCAGCCCGGAGCCGTTTGTTGTACAACTGCTGATTCTCCACAAATTGGGAGGTTGAGGTGCAGGAGACAAACCTCACAACTCACAAAACTCGCTCTCAATGATCAAGCGTTTTAAAGAAAAATGTAATTAGACGGGGGGGTGGGTGGGGGTAGATATCTGATGTGTGATGGAGATGCTCCGACACGTTCTGAATCTGTCTTTTGAGAGCCGGCGATCCGTCAAAAACCGAGTGCGAACACAGATGCGATGAAGACGGAAGTCACACAGGTGAAATCAGACGGACGATATTCCCCACGATGTCTAAATCATGTCTAAATCACATACACAATTATGAAGGGACATGAAAACTCATGATCGTGGTGGCTTTTGTCGGGAAAATACAGCAGAAGCTCCGACAAAACGTGAAACGACAAAAAGTCCAGTTTCATTAGTGGGGCCGTTACCTGTCTCGCCTCAGGCTCCTCCATGCTGTACTGGGTACCGGCTGGCCCCTCGCTCACTTTGTCGCCCAGAAGGAAACCCAGGCGCGTCATCAATGTGTTGGCTGCCTCATCCACCGACGGAGGGGGGCCCAGCTCATGGCTTGACTCCCCTGCAGAGGCAGAGAGACGGGAGGAGGAAGCAGGTGGAGGGGTGGGGGAGAGAGAGAGAGAGAGAAATAAAAATTTGTGTCAGCGATGGGTGGGAACAGGACAGAAGCTTGTTTTAACCCCGCACCCCCTCTGAAAAAAAAACATCCATTAAAATATCACGTCTGCGCCGTCTTGGCCGTGGAAACACGGCGTGCGTCTGGATTCAACCCCAGCAGGGACGACGGCACCATGGGCAACGGCGTGAAACACCCTCACCTGAGTTTCCCCGGCGCTCGGGGCCGTGCACTAAAGGCGCATTCCGCCCCCCTGTCGGACGCGTCCTCTCGAGTGCCCTCTGACGCAAAACTCTAAACTCCCTTTAGAATCCTTTCAGAGCTCGTTTAGAAACAGAAAGAAAATACAAAAAAAACAACCTCTTCACTCGACAGCTCCTTCCGCACCATCAGCACTGCAGCTAGTGTGACGTAATGAGATACGCCCTTCACCTGCGCGTATGTGTGTGTGTGTGTGTGTGTGTGTGTTTGTGTGTGTGTGTGAGAGAGAGAGAGGGAGGGAGTGCAAAAGAGAGAGAGAGCGAGAGACTGCTGTGTGGTTCTCCAATACAAAGTGGGTGTGTATCCAACTCTTCTGTATCCTGTTTACAGAGACTCGCCACTCTGAGGGGAAACACTAGGGTGAGTTTGTGTGAAGTTTAGAAGATTACACAGACACACGCACACGCAGAAGGATGTTTGAAACAGGAACCAACACATAAAATGACTTCATGTTCTGGCCCCGGTTACCTGGTTAATGTCCACCCATGACAAGGCTTGCTACAGTGCCACTCGCGCCGCTTTTCACTAATCCTACTCTACTAATCACTATTCACGACCCAGAGAATTGGCCGAGACATTAATGACATTGAAGCCGCCAGCACGAGGATAGCCGGTGTTTAAATAAACAGCAGCGAGACGGAGCGGCAGGGCCGGTTCTCTCTCTCCCTCACTCCCTCACTCCCTCTCTCTCTCTCTCTCTCTCTCCCACTCGTTTTCCTGCCGGGCAGGTCGGACCAGACTGGCAGGTAGCTACACAAAGTCCTGACTGACGACCATTAGAAAGTCCCAGCGGCCGCACCCCGTCCCTAAAGACAGACGGCTCGTCTAAAAGCCCGCGGCCTCTGTCCTCACTCGTCCGCTTAAGGACCCGCAGACGGACGAGGCAATCCAAAGGCCCGGGCGCCCCTCTCCACCTGCTCATGCGCGGGCAGACGGGACGCCGCCAGGATCCCTCATTAGGTCGACTTCAAGTCCCTTAAAGCCAGTAACAAGGACTGGCACCTTCTGAGGGAGGGGGAAAAACGAACGTTGAGGCGGGATGCGTGGCCGACAAACAGAACTGTCTATAATGAGGTAATCACGGCGAGCATTAGGTCCTAAACGGCTAATCCTCCGTGATGAGAAGGCTGCAGCGGCTCAGTGAAAGCAGCCGGATACACGGAGCAGAAAGGGGGCCTCCAAGGTCATTGAATCCCCGACCGTCCCCCAAGGAGGACTGCTTAATGCAGGAAAGGAGAGGATGTAAAGGTATCACCGTTCCTCCTCCTCGCGGCTAATATCGCAGGGAGGGGGTGGGGGTGGGGGGGGGGGGGGGCGCCTGGGACGCCTGGGACGAGCAGCCACCCTGGTGAACAAAAGCGGGAACATCAACCCGCCGTCCATTATAATAACAGGTGTTGTCTGTACGCCGTGTGTGTGCACGTGCAGGCGGCGAGGGCACTTTACACACTGGTAGTATCGGGCAGTGAATACATTAGCACTGGTTAGTCAACCGCTCCTGGGGGGGATGGGGGGGGTTTGTGACCGCGATCGAATGGGGGCTCGGTTGTTTTCTCTCTCTCTCTCTCTCTGGCTCACTGTTTCGTCTGCGTCCTCTTTGCTCGACTCTTTGTCCACGTCTTTGCCTCCGTCTGCCTGTACTACATCGGTCTGGTCTCGTGTCACAGCCAGCTGACAACCAGACAAGCAAAAACACTGTAGTCAAACATAGAGGCCGGACCGAAATACTATCACGGATCTGCCAATTAAAATCTCATCTTCATGTACATACACGTTATAGAACCTTCCACAAAGGACATGTATGCATTACCATATTGTGGCAGTAGTATATTCCTGTTTATAGCTCATTTGTTCTTAAAATACATATTAAAACAATGTCGACACCAATATGTGGATCGCGCCGAAGCTACGCGACAGCATCCGGAACCGTTAGTCCTCACAGCGACAGCATAGGACCCTTTAATGATGACATTTAAATATGAAGAAAAGATATAAAACACATCTCTTATTTTTTCTGAAACCAGCCCCCGACACACACACACACACACACACACACACACACACACACAGACACACAGACACACACACACACAGACACACAGAGATGAACACGCTCCTCTGCCACCAGATTCCTGAGCTGCGAAAGAAGACAGATGGTTGCCATAGCAACTATCTTTGCGCACAGCTAGGAATGCGTTTCTGTGCGAGCGCATCTGTTTCTTCCCGGCCGGCCACAGAGAAGAGCGAGAGAGAAGCATGTGTGCTGCAGGCAGGGGACTGGAGAGCACAGGAGACGGTATTAATAGGTCCGGGGCTGCAGGTGAGATGGCACATACCATACGGCGGCTCCTGTTTCACCTCCACCTGCCCACCTCAACTTTCGCTCCGGCAGGGTGAGTCCAACAGAGACGCACGTACGCCGTTCCCACAATCCGCCCGCGCTTGTGGTTGGGAAAGGTGGAGACGGAAGGCTCAAAGTAGAAGTGGCACACGAAGACGGAGAGAGGTGAAAATGAACTACGTCAGTAGCTGTTGACAGCTAAACAGAAGTGGTGGCAAAAGGTAGATTCACACCTCTTTCAGAAAACATGAATAACAGACAGGCACAAATAGGTGTGCACAAGCAAACACATCATCAGGACACCAGCGGCTGGAAGGATAATCACAAGATCAGAGGCGTGAATTGCACATTCCTCGTGTGCACAGTGGTGTTCGTATCTGCAACCGAATGTGGTGAATTTTATACATGAAAGCACCTCAGGATGCTGGTTAGTTATCAGTATCTTATGTGATGATATACAGTACACATATACACGATTTGGTTTACCCTCAAGTCATTCTGGGTGTATTTGACTAATGTGACAAAGAGCAGGACTGCTTTATATTATATTATACACCGTGGTATGCAGAGTGTCTAATATCGTAGCATAAAATCAACACCACTACTACAACTACACTGCAAATTGCTGTCAATCAAACTCAGACACCGGCACGCCCCTGTAGAGGCTTAGATCTTCATTTGTTCTACTACGCTGACTGCAAAAAAAAGGATGACTCAGCATCCTTTTACTTACTCAACGTCAACGATATAGAAATGTTATATAAAATGACGAAACACCATGATGGTGGCTTTAATCCGCAGCGGCCACATCTGCTCCGGGAAGGAGCTTTTACATCATTAGAAAAGCTTTCACTCCACAAAGTCGTCACTAACCACATTCATGAGACCACAAACGTCTTTGTAGGCCATAAAAATCAGCTGGTGCCTGCCGAGCGGAATGCGATCAGATGTTCGAGTCACTGCCGTTGTTGAGAGCGAAGATGTCCGTCCACCTGGGAGGCTCGAGTCATCGCCCCAGAAAACTCATCTCATCCCTCCTGGTTCCCCTCCAGCACACGTTGTTATTGCGCCGACACAGGCTTCCTGCCGGTGAACTGTTTTTTGTTTTTTTTCCTGCCTCGATGGTGCAGGAGAGACGACTGCCTCAGCCCTGAAATGTCACATCTGCGGTCGCTTTGAGCAGCTCATCACAACTGATTGGTTATTTCACAGTCTGTTTCACAGGGTTGATGTACAATCCAGCCGGGCACAACAGTTTTTCATCCGGGAGATTCGACTGCCAGCCCGGTACCAGAACAAAAGAGTCCTTTTCCTTACATAATAAACGGATGCATACCAGAAGAAATACCATAAAACGTGTATTCATTTGCATAAACCTACTTACAAGGAGAAGGCTGGAAGCAAGTTCTCGCCCATTTTTAGAAGTTAGAAAATGCCCGGAGACCTCCCACCATTACTGCCCGCATGTCTTTGTCCCACCCCGGGGGGGATTCAGCATCGTCCCGCTCTGCTGAGAAGTCTTTATAGCCACGAGAGGTCGAGCCAACAAGACGGGTCAAGAAGCCAATGCTGCACTTCTCAGTGGCGGCAGGACAAAGCAGATGCACTCGAAACCAAAAATCTCAGCGGGGCGCCATCCTCGTGTGACGGGCTCGACAAAGGAGGATGGACACTGTGGCCGCCAGCGAAGCCATTTCATCAATGACTTTGCAATGTTTCACTTTTTCGCTGCAGCAGGCGGCAAAAAAAAACATCTCTCCCTTTATCGCCGTACCTCTCTACCGCAGCCGCGGAGAGGAACAAACATGCAGAAAAAGCAACACCAAGAAATGAGGGATGAGCCGGGCCAAAGACTTACCGGGGCAGTATGTGTCCAGGTCTGGATTCTTGGCAGTGGTGGAGGTGTGTGTAGGGGAGCCAAGCTCTGATTGTGGAATGCGAGGGCTCTCCACAAACTTTGCTTTCCGCAGAGGGGCTGGGAGCAGAAAGCGCGCACACACACACACACACACACACACACACACACACACACATAGAGAAGGGAGAGTACAACACACACGCGCACACACGTGTACACAGAGATGGAAGAAGACAAAAAAGAGAGGAGTGACAGGGAGAGGGACAGAGAGGGAGGAGGAGGAGAGAGAGAGCTTATGAACTTGAAGCAGCACACTGATAACGTGACTGAAACATCCTGAATGCTTTCTTTAGCAGCTATTTGCCCGGGGACAATAAAGCTAAAGTAAACAAACAGCACGGACAATCAGGACCGCAACCGACCAATAGAATGTGAAAATGTCACCACAGTTCTTCTCTAAAAAAAAAAAAGTCTTTATTCCCCACCGAGTAGCAAACAAGATGTGACCTTTCAGCTGAAAAGATGGATGAAAAAAAAAAAAAATGTTGCGTCTACTTGTCCGGCGTCATAATCACACCGAGAATGCAAATGAGATATATTTTCGGAATGTTCTCTCGCCTGACTCAAGCACAAAGTCTGAGACATCAGACGAGTGGCTTGGACGAGAGAGAGGGAGAGAGAGAGAGCGAGCATTGAACAGCCGGAGGTAGCGGTTGTGACACGTCTTTTTCTGGGTTCTCAGGGATCGGAAGCGCCGGTATCAGGACCAGCTCGTGGAGTCATGACATGCATGCGTGGAGGTGTGAGAGGCTCAAGCATCCAGCGCGCCACGACTCAGAAGAACTGCTCATCTCACATTCGGCAGCGCAGCAATTTACAGCAGACAAAATGATGCCAAAGTGTGACCTCCAAAGCTGGATGCTTAAGCGTCTTTTCCCCGACTGTAATAACCGCTACGGTTATCGAGTTGGACGCAAAGAAATTTGGCTAATTTCAACTAAATAGAGTGAATTTGTTCAATCTTTTCTTTTCCGCACTTCTGTGGGCATAAATGGTTCTCAATTGGTTAATCTGGTTGAATGAGGGTTTAAAGTAGATTATGCGCTGTATGTTAACCGCTCTTCTCACGGGTGAGTGCACATGTCCAAAGATACGCCGCCAAGCACAGTGGAGCGAGCAGGAAGCCACCGGAACATACCGTCAGGCTGTGAGCTCTGTAAGCACTTTTGTTTGGGGTTTAAGTTACAGATAATGCCAGTAATGCACGTGTGTGTGTGTGTGTGTGTGTGTGTGTGTGTGGGTGTGTGTGTGTACATCCTAGATTAAACACCACAGCACTCGTCTACATTTAGTGGAATTATCGGTCTTAACCTCTTAGCAAATAAAGCAGCATTTTACCATTTCTGCCTGAAACTGTTTTTTTTGCATATCTTAGAAATGTACTTATAGTTTGCTAATTCCATCTGTTATAACGCTATTATTTGCAGATTTACGTATATCATAATATTTTAAATGGGCATTTAGGCTATGCATTGAAGTGAACTGTTTAAAATAATTAAGCTATTCGATAGCTAATTATGCTAATCAATGAGCAGCAGATACACTCTTTGTATTATGTGGGCACACTGAAAAACTACTGTAATGATAAATGCTTAACTGAGTATTATTCTGCCCCTAAACTCTGGTCAAACGTCGTGTATTTGGCTGTTTCTATTTGGCCGTATATAGAGATAGAAATTTGCATCCTTGTGAATCTGGACCCTGACTTCAAACCCATTGTCTTCCAAATGTCAGTTCAAAGACAGCTCTGCCTCGCGCTTAGTGACAATGACTTCTCTTGGAATGCTGGTAATCCAAGAGGGTTTAAAGGGCTTTATAATATATATCAGCGGTTGGATTTCTCAAGCCAACAGGGAGCACGTAATCCTTCAATTTATCTGAGCGACACGGAGACACAGTCGAGCTGGCAGCGTTCAGGCGGCTTTAAAATGCTACGCTAAGGACTTAGATTAGCATGTTAGCATTCGCAAAATAGCAGGAAATGGAACGTACACCTGAGGCGGTGCATTTTGTTATTAAAACAAGTACAGGTTTAAATATCATCCGGATAGGAACAAGCAGTCAATCCAGTTTTTCTCATTTCACAGGAAACATCGACACTAATGAGACAAAGGTTCCAGGTTCAAAATAAAATCTATTTTAGAGAAGCTCTACTTTTATTTACATTATATAGACATTCCTGCTCGTCGATCCAAAACTTTAGCCAGACTAAGCACTTGTTCAGGGTCCCTCGGTTTAACTTTCCACCACTTCACTATAATCTGTTGTCAGGATCCGAGATCCTCTGCTCACTAACAAACACACGGCCAAACGAACAAGAACTAAATATGCTTGGCAGCGAAAATCAAAGCGACTCCTTCAGAGCCGTGATTACGCGTTTAAATTCGACGGGTTCGCCCGCAGTGTTAACCCTGCGTTGCCGCGGGGCCCGGAGAGGACCCTCGGTAATTGAACCCATCCAGGAAGTGAGCCAGCACAGATGCCACAGTGAGAAACTACAGCGGACAGCCAGCGGGAAGACGGGACACGGGCTATTCTCTCCTGCATCAACCGCCGTCACTCGAATGACCCGTTATATATTTTGGGCGCAGTCCATTTTGCTTGCCATGTGACTTTTTACTTAGTTTCTTTCCCTTTTTGACTTCCGAAGCATCACCCTTTGTTTCAAGGTTAGTGTCAGTCATTTGAACACAGGAGACAATGTTCATAAAAAAGAAGACGTTCTGTTCAGACCTTCAATAGACGAGTAAAAAGTTCGTAACGATGTAAAAGAAAAATGCAGGGGCCACAGAATCACTAAGATACTTTAAAAAAAAAAGAAAATCCTTCTGAGATATTTTCAAGAATGTCTCTCTAGGCTGTTGCTTTGCTCTTCTCTGGGAGAGCGGTCATCGTTAGCTCGCAGGGAAACGCATTCCTTCTCACCAGCCCAGAGTAACAATCCTCCCTTTCAGACACACGGTGCTGCCGGACCACCTGCGGTGACCAGCTCGCCGGCAGCACGCAGCGGCTTCTCACGGACTCCTGCCGTGACGCGCCGAGCTGTCACGTGACGGCAAGACCATCCAAGAAGAATTACAGCATTGACCTAAACGGTTTTTACATTTTAAATCCTTTTATAGAGTCAGCGGGCATCATTCGACAACGACTAGGCAAAGTGACTCAAATAGTTTCCCAGCAGAATATCCTTCCTTCTTCCTTTCTATCTTTTTTTTTTGTCTTCCTGATCTTACCTCTATAAAATAGCGAAGTGAGACTCGGCCTATTGGAGTAAATCCCCCTCCATAGCGGCGGCTCCAGGAGAGTAAATCCCAGCGGCTCTTCTCCTGCAGTCCCGTTGTCAGTGTGTGCCAGGCTGAGGAGGGTTGACACTGTGATGGATGGCAGCAGGCAAATCCACTCCTCTAATGAGCTTATGAATAAATATCTCTTAGTCTGTGTGTGTGTGTGTGTGCAGATGCACGTGGCCGTGAAATAGTTATTTGTAACATGCTCTGGATGCGAGGGTGTGAATATGAATATGCATGTGGCATGTATGCGAGTGTACATGCGAGATTAGGGTGAGAACGGGGGAGGGAGGGGGAAGGGGGTGTGTGTGCAGAGAGAGAGGTGTGTGACATTGGACAGTTTTGAACATTTTATAAGAGGAAGCTGATCTCTACTCCCGAGATTGTCAGCGTGTACACACAGCCTTTGGGGAAATCAAGTCCATGTGTGCAGGATGTTGTGCATATGAAAGAGGAGCGCTCCTTTTCAACACCACAGCCCCAATGGACACAACCTTGGATTTCTAGAAATAACGGATAAGATCTGAATACGAATCAGCGACTCTAGTGAGCAATGCGGTGTCCCTCCTCCTGCCGCGCGAGTGAACGAGGAGCAACTGGAAAGGAGACATTTCCAAGTCTGTCCTACTGTCTCAGTCGCATACGACTTTGGGCGCCCGCACGCGCACGCATCGACAAACGCATGAAGAAAAATAATGTGGGTGAGGACGTACAACCCCCAGCTGTCTGCAACCCCAGCGCAGCTTCACAGGAACAACGCATGCGGCCCTGGTCACTATGGCAACAGCAGAGCACAGGGGAAGGACCGGTCTTGTCCACCTTTTTCCAAGGTGGTGGTGGTGTGACGGGTGGGTTAACACAAACACCTAAATCTTCTAGGTCCCAACACGCTTGCTAGCATGTAAACATGTAGTCTCTGTACACGCTCGCTCTTCACTTCCACTTAAATAACTCAAAACACGAAAACTGCAGCGACCGATGCTCATCCGCCGTGTTGTGGCTGCGTCTCTGCAAATGCTTGTGGAGGTGATATTGTGTTTTTAAGGATGTCTTAATCAATATTGTGTTCTGCATTACCTAAGCAACATCACACACACACACATTAACGTATTGATACATTATCTGCAACCAAACTGTCGGGGGTCCAGTTGCATTGTGGGTAATGCCAGATTGCCACGGGAGAATAATATATAAAGAACAAAAAGCTAATTTGTGCATTCCAATCCCCACACTACACAGTGTGCCAGAGAAAAGATTGAGTGCGTTGTAGTACATAGTATATCAAATGCAGTATGCAGACAATACCAGGAAGTTCTCTTTTTACAGGTGGCATTTCTCTGTGGCGAGCGAGTCAGCAAGCTTTTCTGGCTATTCCGAACAATGAACAGGAAGTAGTATGTCCCAGTAAGAAGTATGCACCTCGTAAGGACAGCTGCATTATGTACTAAAATCAAACAGCAGAAGTGTGCGATTTGGAATGCACGCCACAGTAAATCAAACCACAGGTGTGGTAATTAATGATAATTAATGTGGATCCTCACATGTGCTGTTATTTCACCAGGGGCCTGTTCCCAGTGTGCACGGGGCGATCGGGCTCTCGCGGGTTTGGATTTAGAGATCTTTGTTCACGGGTGACTCTGAGCGTTCGTCCCATTGACTTGTTGAACAGAACAACGCCGACCAGATGTTGCTGTGCTGTTCAGTCACAGCTTCCGAGCAGAGGCAGCAAGTGCAAGTCCATTAGCCAGACTGCCTCTTCCTCTTTTATGT